CTTAAGTCTACCATCCACCCTGGACGCGCCGCCCACCAGGTTGCAGCAGAACCTGAGAAGAGTCAGGTACTGAATGTAAAACAATGTGAAACAAAAACACAACCCCACACATTTATGAACCCTTTATTACCTTCCATATACAGTTGTGGGTTGTGTACTATTACTGATGCAGCTAAAATAAGCATATTTGTAGGATTTTTGTGACTGAAAACATTACACTGCAGTTATGTACCCAGGTATTACCCACACTCTGGTTTTAAGTTGTTTAACATGCACCTTTCACACCTTGTGATTGAGTATTATTACTGCCATGAAGTACTTATACTTCCCTTGAGTCTTTTTTCATGCCACTTTGTGCTTCTACTCCACTACATTTCAGAGGGAAAATTGTACTAGTTACTTTACAAATTAAGATTATTGCATACGAAACATATAAAAAGCTTATAAAATATGATGTTTTGGTATAAATTAAACTGCATATACAAGTACAGCTGAATTAGTCAATTAACTGATGAGTAGATTGACAGATAATTGATTGGTAACTATTTTGATGATCAAAACAATCATTGTGAAGGTGACAGTGACAGCATTTCTCACAATTTTTTTAATAATATGTAATATCTATATATATAATATTTTTATAAACCAAACGATCAATCAATTGATGGAGAAAATAATTAGCAGATTAATCCATAATGAAAAAAAGCATTAGTTACAGTCCCATACAAAATAGTTAATTTAATAAATTTACATTTTCCTGATTATATGTACATACCTTTACGTACATTTTCAATGCAGGACTTTTACTTAACAGGGTTTTGTTTTTGTTTTTAACAGTATGTTATTAGTACTTTTCCTTAAGTAGAAGATCTGAATACTTCCCCCACCACTGCAGGAAAGTGTGCAGCTGCTACCTACCAACTCCCTGTTAGACTGAGGTTACTTTCAACACTGGGGAGAGAAATGCTGATCCCATTACTCCTCTCAAGTGTGACATAATTCTTTGGCCCAGATAAGAGTTTTCAGATCCTAAAATTATATTTCTGGTCTTCCTCTGTAACACTTGGGACTGTTTCTGTACCTGGATGTCACCAATAAGGTGATATGGCTTAATTCTGATGCTGTTAAAGGACAATTAAGGGAGAAACGAACCTGCCCCCATCAGTCTAACCTAAAAATTAGTTTTTATTACCGTTAACTACTAAATAATATGAACTGTTTTATATATTACACGTGTTTGTAATAGTTGAGGTGAATTCTGACGGGCTTACTTGGTTTTGTGAATAGGATAACTCATTTGTACCATGCCTATTAGTTTCTTAGGTTACACATTCCTATATTTTAATAACTACCAGATTTGATTTCTGCTTACATTATATTTTGACCCGACAACGATTGAGCCAAAAGAATTGTGTTCCCATATTAAATTGTAGATTGCAGACTTCAATTACCATTTATTGTCAACAATTGGCATACCGGACCAAAAATCAAAGTCATTTTTCAAAAATTCCCCATAATACTGTGTGAGTCTCACTGTGTGCAAACAGCAGAATAATTAAGTTATTAACATGTCATACTAAATTACAAAAGCCATTAGGTCCATAGACTATTTAATGCTTCCATGAGCATATATGAACACCAGCAGTGCACTTGGTATTCATAAATTCACTGTTCTGATGACTTCATTGTTTCCACTGACTCGCATAATTTTTTTACCACTGGAACACCCCACGACGCACTAATGTCAGCCATTTAATATCATAGTAGGCCGGTCATTTGAATCACAATTTCTCTGTTAAAGGGATAATTTGCCTTTTGAGAAATACGCTCATTCCTTTCTGGACGAGAGTTAGATGAGAAAATTGATACCACGCTCACATTTGTAAGTTAAATTTGAAGCCACAGCAAAGACACAGTCAGCTTAGGTTAGCAATAAGACTGGGAACAAGGAGAAATCTGTCTATCAGCACCTCTAAAGCTCACGTATTAACATGTTATATCTCGTTAATTTAGTCTGTACAAAAACTAATGTGTACCTTGCGATTGAGCTAGGTTTCCCACTACTTCCAGTCTTTATGCTAAGCTAAGCTAACTGTCGCCTGTCTGTACCCTCATATTAAATGGACACATCTGACATGGGTATCAATCTTCTCATCTAACTCTTGGCAAGTCAGTGGTAGGTTCACACACACATATAGTAAGTTTGTTTGGCCTACACATGTACTGTTCCTATTCCTTCTCTCTTGCAGGAGGTGACAGTGGATCACTCGGCCCAGTACCAGCACCTGACCAACATGGAGCTGATCTCCCTGCTGCTGCAGCAGGAGATGGACATGCAGAAGCAGCAGGCAGCCTCTGAGCAGCAGGAGGCGCAGCTGCACAAATGTGAGGCTGAGCTGAAAAAGGTCAAGTTACAGGTTCGAGACTTGGAGGACTATATTGATAATCTTCTGCTGCGGATCATGGAGCAGACGCCCACGCTGCTTCAAGTGCGCACTAGACACAAGTGAGGACAGTGCTAGTGTGTGTATGGTGTATTGCACGTGATGTATGATCCTCTAGAATACTGTTTCCACAAGAGAGGTGCAAAACACAGGGTTGTTATTTAAGATTGGGAATCATTGTTCTAGAGGAAGTCAAATAAATACTCCAAAAATCTGATCTCACAACCATCCAGGTCTTCTCACTGCTAATACTGCCCTGTTGATGTTGACACGATATTACCAAACATGCATGCTGGTTACTATCCCAATTTGGCACGAACAGAAAACAGAACAAAGCACTATGTGAAAAAGCTTCTATCAAAGCGGATGCAAATGATTGTTTTACCCATGCTTACTAGAATAATTTAAGGTAGTCAGCTGTTGTCAATTTAAACTTTGAACCCACTGCTTTCACACATGCAGAAAATAAACAGGCTAGAGAAAACACTTTCTGGAAGTGCATTTAATGTGCTTTTTGAACATTTAAGTAGTTCCTCTGGCAAAATATGATGTTAGCTCAAGTACCCTTAAAATTGCAAAAACAACATTTTGACACAAGATTTTCAACTAAAACTGTTTTACAAAATGCACAAGGGTTAACTTGAGTTAATTACATATTTTTCAGGTAGACTTTAAGAAATGATACAAAAATAGCAACACATCAGAAAATGCTGCGCCGCAATGTGAATAATATAAAGAGAGATGTTTCCGCATTAACATTGCTATATGATAGAAAACAATGTTCATATGTTAACACATATTATGTGTGCCAGAAAAGACTGAAGAGGATGAAGACTTAATGTTTGCACTTTGTGTCTTTGTTTTGTTTTTCATTTTTACAAAATACTGTGCTCATCACATTTTTATTACGCGCTAAAGTATTAAGAATGTTTTAATATATTTTTTATGTTTTGTTGTCCATTTTTGCATTTTGTTTGTTGAGCAACATTTTACTGTAGAAAGACATCGATGCAGTAAATAAGAGTATTGTAAGTTATTTCTATAAAATACTTTTGTCATGATATATTCTCTAGTATCACTCTAGTACCACTGTAGCTACTTGCAATGCTTTACATGACCGCAGTACTGTACTGTAATAAAATAAAGTGCACATGAACCAACGTTTGTAAGGTCCTTTTGTTGTCGGTTTGTCACTGAGCAGACCTCAGTGAGAGTGTAGAGACTAATCCATGACATCCTACACACTATATGCATGTTATGTATCCTGCAGCAATGCTTACTGCTCTCCACTAGAGAGCACTGCTTACTACACAGTTTGGGTGCAAACCTGCTGGTTCAGCAGGAACCTTGTCCTCTGCTTTGCAAAATTCACTAGAGATATTAATCCTCCACAGATACAGATACACCTATCTGATTTATCTGCCTTTGTCTATTGAATTTATAACAAATGTTAACAATGTTGCCTTTGTGCTGCTTTACTTCCCTTTTCTCTCTCTAACCATCGATTTCAGACTGTGAAATGCTGGTTTACATTCATTCAGCACTAAATCATAATATACCAGCACAGGCCTATTGTTTATAGACCCAGGGAGAGCTGGTCCATTTCCTGTTTATACTGAGCTGTCTGTACAGTCACTCTCAGCAGCAGCTTCACATTGTTCTACCCCATTAGTGGTAAAGATGTGAGAGTGAGTGAAATATCTTAATGTCCTAGATAATAAGTAAAAATAGCAATACTGCTGCATAAATATTCCATTACATGTAAAAGTGCAGCATTCAAAACCTTACTTCAGTAAAAGTACAGGTATTATCCATAAAATGTAAAAGTACTAATCATGCAGCAGAAAGCCTCTGACAGTCTTATATTATAAGTGATCAGATTTTTACATTTGCATTATTGATGCATTTAAGAATTTGAATGTTGTAGTTGGTTAAGATGAAGCAAACTATATTCATAGTCATATTGTATTATTTAAAATCTCAATAGTCAAATAAATGTAGTGCAGTAAAACTCTAAAACGTAGTGAAGTGAAATAAATAATAACTTGGGATAGTCTGCCTAAAGTATTTATAACAGTAGCTTATTACTGTTTACTGTTTCACAAATGTAGGTTTGGTTAGGTGTAGGCACCCACATGTTGGTCAGGGTGTGTTCACGAATTGTTATATATACTGATAATCTGTTAACCATCTATAGACAAAGCAAATGTTACATATGTGTTACCCAAATAGGGATTCCTTATTATTTCTTAGTTTTCTTAGTTCCTTGGAACAAATGTAATGGATATATGATTAAGGATTACAATAACATGAAGGACTAATAGACTTTAATCAGTTTAAAAGCAGCAGTCTCTTGCCCTTTGGCCACAATATGACAAGATCATAATGAAAGAGTGGTTACAGATATTTCATTTCTCTGCTCCAGGTTATTTATTCTTCTCTTTCTTTATTTATGATGAAGTGAACCTGAAAGACAGCTGGTCATATCTTCCCGCAGACGCGTTTTCTCTCTTCAGGCCACACCTCTTTACACAATGATTAACAGGGTAGCCTAAATCTGGCCACCTATGGGCGCATCAACTGTTATCTCTCCCAGGATCAATCCGAACAGTTATGCAATAGCTTTCACCTTATCGATTATTTGGGACGCGTAGTCATGCGGTTCAACTTTGCCATCGCTAATGCAAACGAGGAGACTACACATCCCAACAGACAAAGCGGCTCGTTGCTTCACTAGTTACTCATTGAGTGTAGTTCGCTCTACTTGAAAATCCGTTCATGATTCGGTTCATTAATAAATAGTTGGGTGTCATGGCGGAATCTGCAGCATGTCCTGCTTTCCAGCTCGGAAGACCCCGATACGACCAGGTAAGTGCTGTCTCTCCTCCGAGCAACATGCATTCAAGACATTTTGTTTTTAAGGCTTTCGCAGAGAGGGAGGGAGGGAGGGAAGGGGAGAACAGCCCCATCCTCTCCGCCCTGCTCCGGTCCGACTGCTCTGGATGCTGCTGACACTTTGTAGCGAAAGTTGCCTTTGATCTGCGGTCCGATCCTGTCTGTTATGCAACCGCAGCAACTTCCAGCCGATAACGAACTCTTGAGTGTGATTGAGATTAGTTTTGAGTTTATTATAGTTTCACTGCTGGAGATAATTGTGTGTCGGCGGTGTCATATCGCTGTGTATCATCTCCTCTGACAGATTTCACACCCTGCGCCTCGCTGCTGCTCCGTCAAAGATGGTATCAGTGTGTGAAGGATCTGCAGCCAACATGATGTCTTGCGCCTTAATTTAAAGGCAGTATTCATTTTTTTCTGTCAGTTAATAGCGATAAACGTGTGTTTTATCTTTTATTGTTATTTCAGGCTTTAAAATCGCAGGTGTTGGAGATTTCTGATCCAATCTCTCCAAATGTGCGCTTCATTTTGTGCATTATTTTAGTCCCAATCACACTCAAACACCCTCAAGTTTGTTTTTTTCTGGATGCTTTCTGCAGATTGGCCCATCTGTGATCAAGATTAATGGGCTGTCCATCCTTATCTGAAGCCCATTACTCAATTTTCCTTCCTCAGAAATGAATTTGCACTGGTCAACCCTGAAAGATAATGTGACCTTCACGTTCACTAGGATGGCACATTAACTGAGGAAGCTGCACATGGTAGCTTAAAGGAAATGATTTACCTGATGGCACTGCACAGAACAAAGTCCAGACTGTAAATAAGTCAACTGATATGAGCTATCAAAGAGATTATCATCGAAATGCACAAAATGAAAACAGCTTACTTTAAATTTTGAGCTAACTTCTCACACATATTGTGATAAAACACAAGAGTGAGAGTGCCTACTGGAACTACATCAGTTTGAAGTGACTGTTGACCCTTCTTGTAAATAATACAATAAAACAACTACAAAAAGACACAAAACAGGTGCAATACAACCGTAAAACTGCCACAAAGAGATGCAAAATAGCCACAAATAGACACAGAGCAACCTTAAAAACACACAAAATGGCTGCAAAGATATAAATAAATGACCACAACGAGATGCAAAATAACCACAGAGAAACAGGAAACAACTGGAAAGAGCAAAACAACAACAAAGCAATGCAGAATGCCAACAAATAAGATTGCAAAACAATCAGAAAAAGATGAAAAATGACAACAAAACAGCACAAAAGGATGTTGGTTTGTCCGTGTCTAGGGGCCCACTGTTACATAATCTGTCCAGCAATGTTACAAACTTGGCTCAGGTTTGCAACGAGAGTCCACACGCACACACAAGAGGTTGAAAAGCCAAATTAGTTGATTTAATGAATTGATTTAATAAGAAAATAAGACTGTGGAGATATGCAAGGAGTCGGTGGTGTGAAGCATGTATGTGTGAGAGTGTTGTGTGAACCTAAAGTGAACTACAAAGCTGTACATGAGGAGACGTTGAGAACACAGGATATTGTATGGTTCACAAAAAGAGCCCAAATAACACTTAATTTACACCCTTTGTCTCGTGTGAATTACTATTTTTAGGCGACCACAAATTCTTCTTTTAGATCACCATAATTTTAAGAAAGACAGTAATTAATCCTTAGTTTCCAGCTCCTACTGCTGATCCACTGCATATATGTTTTTTCCAGCAGAAAATCATTTCCATCTGATCCCAATAAAGCCTTTAAATGTTTCCATCGGCAACCTGGAGCTAATGTCAGGTTAATAAAGGTGCTGTAACACTTTCAGTTCCTTGCGTCAAAGCAGTTAAAATTAGGCCAGCCTTTGAATCAGCATGAATCTTGCTCAGTTTGTCTGTGCTTTCTACTGCGCTCCGTCTCTGCTAGCCTTGTTGTGTACTCTCCGGGGAGCTGAAACTCATGCATAATTAAAGCAGGCTCCTCACATGGATCCTCTCTCTACCCTACTCTTACAAAACAGCACTGCAGCACATATGGCATGTCAGAGGAGGAGACATGTGATGAGGAAATGGCAGAAAATCCTGAGATACAGTACAGATAGATTTTGTTTATCTACAGTCTTTAGGAGGGCTAAATGTTTACTTCCTGTCATTTCAATTAGGACCCGGTGCTGAACAGATAATTAAAATACAGAGAGGTTTGTTCCACTGTGTTTTCTGGCCTTCATAACTGATAAATGTCTCAGAAGGAATCTGATTGAAGCTGCCATGTTTTCGCCCATCTGGTTTGCCAAAGAGACTCTTGGCATAAACTGCTATTGGGCCTTTTCAGACTGTTGGCACACACACTTAGCAATTGGCATGCTGATGAAGACAGTGAAGGGAACAGAAAACAGGGCACTTGACCAGCAGCTCCAAGCCTCACTTGGAGGAATGTGTTCGGTACATGTAAACTTACTCAGGATTGTTAGTGCAAAGCCCATTTCGCTTTTACTTCTCAGTTGTATTTTGTGCCATTGTTCAGTCAGGAAAGACTTGGTCATCCATTTTTATACTTTTGATAATTGGCTGTGTTGTTTTAATATTTCACCTGCTGATTTCTTACTACATTTACAGTGACGTGTGAAGTAATTGTTACATTAGTAAAGTTTTTAATAGAAATATCTAAAGGTGGCATTAGAAATCTGAAGACATTGTGTTTCTTCATTGAATTTAAGCCTTTTCTAAAAATGTGGCCGCAACAGATCATTAAATCATATGCATTAATTTCTGTTTTGTGACACATTTTATCTAAATTAATGTGTTGAATTTGACAGTATTTGACATCAAACAGGGGCGGAAAGGCATTTTTTAGGGGTGATATAACTGTCACCTTATGCCTCCCCACTAGATCCACCCCTGTATATCCACTCCAAAATGTAATGGTTCTTTCTTGGCCCATCTACCCTTACATGAAAGTTACATGAAAACTGGGACAGTAGTTTTTCCGTAATCCTGCTGACAAACCCAAACAAACCCACAAATGGCCACAAAAGCGTAACCTCCTTTGTGGAGGAAACAAGAAACTGTGCTTCCTCTGACATTATAAATACATAAATGCAGTGGGCAACAGACAACAAAGTGAGCAGTACAGACTCAAGACGACTAGTGAAATGAAACATTCACAGAGGGGAGGATGGTCTGCTGTCACTGTGTATCTACTTTCATTAAGAATTAACTTTATCATTCTGTCTCTTTTAGAGTTCATTCCTCGGTCGTCTGAGACACTTCATAGACATCATTGACCCGAGCACCCTGTTTGTATCCGAGGTAAAATCTTCTGTAAAAAGTATTGCTGATAGATGTGTGCACAAAGTCAATCCAGTATTCATACTCGTGTATTAACACAAGCCTACCTTCTTGTCTATCAATGGTGTAACAAAGTACATTTACTCAAGTACTCTTCTTAAGTTTTAGGCCTGTGTACTTTATTAAGTATTTTCTTTTCATTCCACAACTTCTACCCCACTACATTTCAGAGAGAAATTGCTTTAGTTACTAGTTACTTTACAAAGTAAGATTTTTGCATACAAAACATATGAAACGAATATAAAATATGTTTTGTTATAAATTAACTGCCCAACAGTGTATATAAGTAAACAATTAGTCGATTGACATAAAATGGATTTGATGGCTGCAGCTTCTCAAATGTGAAGATTCCCTGCTTTTCCTTAAAATGTATAAATTCATTTTTAAATTATTGCTTTGTTAAGGTGTCACTTTGCGCTCTCAGCAATTGAGATTGCATTTCTCGATTAATGACAATAATCAGCGGATTGATCCCTAATGAAAATAATCATGAGTTGCAGTCGGATGCTAAATAATGAGCTCCACCTCAACCAACTACAAGTAAAATCCTGCTCTTACATTAATGGTGGTGTAATAAAAATCTAATGATATAGTAGTATAACCATCACAGGGGACAATTTTTGCACATTTTAGTAGATTATCCTTTTATGTTATGTAATTACAGTATTTTTTACAGGGTGGTATTATTTTACTCAAGTAACCGACCGGGTAACAACTGGGTATCAAACCTCAATAAATTTTTGCTACCTCTTCAGATGATTCATGTTTCATCAGTTATGAACAATTTTGATAAAATATTAATAGTTAAATTTATTTTTTAAGAAAACATGTTTCAAATACATTTATTTAAACTGTAACTTGCCAGACTGTCAGAATATTAGTACATTCTTACTCTAATTAAGCCCCATATTTGTCTTTTGTTTTGTATGTAGAAAGGGTTGAAAGAATGCATCAAACTACTGGATGATTACAAAGATGGCAAGCTTCCACCTGGAGTCTCTGATCATCAGGTCAGTCTTTATTGATGTTGAGCTGATACACTACAGAGCTATTATGTTCCTGATGGATGTGAATACAAGAAAAACGTAAACCTAATGGTTAATTATCTCTCTTCTCTTTAACTGCACTGCTTACCTGAGCAGCTGTGGGAAGCCCAGAAGATCAAGCAGGTAAGTGATCCACCGGTCATAAATCAGCCCAGTTTAACTGCACCTCCATACATTCAAGCCTCTGGGCTCCTGGCAGCATGAGGATGATGTCATGCTCTCTGCACGCAGGCCATCATTCATCCTGACACAGGAGAGAAGATCTTCATGCCATTTCGAATGTCAGGTACGACCTTGGATGAAGATCTTTGCTAAAGTTGTTGTAGTTTCTCCATCGTTTGTCAGCATTTTTTACACTGAAATTAATTTCTTCGCTTGTGTAGGTTATGTACCATTTGGAACACCAATTGTAAGTCCCATATAAAAATCACACATTTTAATCATGCATTTCACAGAACTTAACTTGGCTGTGCAGATATCCATTTACATGTTCATGTTTGGGGATAGATGAAATGAGACTTTGGACTTATTTTGCCCCAAAATAAGCTCTTATTCCCTGGTCTCATCTAGGTCATTGGCCTTCTTCTCCCAAATCAGACTGTGGTGTCTACCATTATATGGCAGGTACTGTAAATAATCAGTATTGTAAAACCATTGCATTTATTGTACATGCTGAACCTCTGGTAAGTGCACTTTTATTGTGTACATAAGTGCTTCCCCTACCTGTTCTACACTGAGATAATGACATTGTAAAATAATGTGTGTTTATTTCTTTTCTTACCGTTCCTTCCTTTTTTTCCCCTTACTGTTTGTCCTTCTTTCCTTTTTCTGACTCAATTTATCCCTCTTTTCTCTCCTACTCATTCATTCTTCTGTTATTCCCTTCTGTCTGTCCTACAGTGGCTGAACCAGAGTCACAATGCCTGTGTGAACTATGCCAACCGCAACGCCACAAAGGTAGGGACTGTTGTGGATATTCAGATAGTCTCTCTGAATACTTCAACAAAATGACATTTATTTATTCATTTGTATCAACACTTGTTTTTTATACTGTGCCATAAAGGAACATAAACACTTGACCCAGAACAGTAACATACACATGCCTAACGGTAGGAAAACAAGCAACCTTGAAAACAATGTAAACATTAATGAGGATGTTGAACAGCACATTAATGTTGTGGTTTAGATTTTGACTTGATGTTGATTTTTATTGTATAAAAGAATATAATGTGTGTTTTTTTCACTTTCAGCCTTTAATATCACAAAATATCACTATAGAGAGTTTACAGCAGTCTGACAGTAAACCTTGTATAAAGCTGTGATTTCTTTTCTTTATTTCTTTTGTCCTTCCTCAGCCTACACCAACATCCAAGTTTCTCCAAGGCTACGTAGGAGCAGTGACCAGTGCTGTTTCTATTGCAGTGAGTGCATTTCTTGTTCAGTGACTTCAATATCTTCTTTCAGGATGCTGAAATTTAAGTAGAAAATTGTTCTTTGTGGATTTTACCTGCACATGAGGGCTGTGTGTTTAGTTTCAGCTGTACAGTTTCTATTATTAATGTTTTAGCTTCAGTAAAGTAATCCTAACACATATGATTTTACATTTATTTGAAACAACCTTGTTTTCTGTATTTAATAGGTGGGACTGAATGTGCTGATCCAGAAAGCCAACAAGCTGAGTCCTGCCACCAGAATGATAATCCAGAGATTTGTCCCTTTCCCAGCTGTAGGTAGGTTTTCAAAGGACCCTGTGTGCCAGTTTTATTAGGGGTAATTGTGTGGCCCTCTGGTGGTTGGAGTCACAACAACCTACTGATGCCACACATATGTTACAAATGTGGTTGTTAATTGCATTAATGTCATTTTTATAGCATTTTTCTGCACACCATCAGTCCCTTATGACATCCTTTTTCTAAGACTACTTTAAGAGTTTTACAGTTTTAATGTTTACAATTATAAAGGACTAAAACTACTAGAAAATATTCACATTTGAGATGGAACCAGTGAATGTTTTCCATTTTTGCTTACAGGAAAACATAAAAAAACATTTAATGGATGATCAGTTGCAGGTATATTCAGATAATTGTAAAAGTTACCTCTCCGTCTCCATCCTCAGCTTGTGCAAACATCTGTAACGTGGGCCTGATGAGGCACAATGAGCTATCTGAAGGTATCGATGTGCTGGACAACAACGGGAATGTGGTGGGATCCTCCAAAACTGCTGCAAAACACGTGAGAGCATTTTTTGCATACTCAGCGTAATTGTTACAGTAATGTATTCATACTCTTCCTGGGTTTTTTTTTTTCAGTGAATTGCAAGTGATGATGGCTGATAATGGGAAAATCTATCATTTCCTGCTCGGGTCCTGTCACTCAGCACACATCTGATCTCATGAAAGGGAAAATTAAATCCAACTCATTGCAGTATTTGAAATGAAGCGTGTGCACAATGTTCTAATCTTTTCCCCCAGGCAATCATGGAGACCGCCTTCACACGTGTGGTTCTCCCGATGCCGATCTTTGTGCTGCCCCCCATCATCATGTCCTACCTAGAGAGGTTGGTACAGAAATATATTGTTTTGTTTTTTATAATAACTAGGTAGTAACAATTACTTGCCTATGAGTAAGTAGTAAGTAAGTAAATAAAGTAAATAAAAAATGTGAAAAATGACAATCAAATCATGAAAATCACAAGTTCCTAGAGCTCGAGCGCACATGTTTTACAGTAATGTCTTGTTTTGTCCTTGTCACTCTCTATAATTATAAAGGACTAAAACTGCTAGAAAATATTCACATTTAAGATGATGGAACCAGTAAACTAATACTATTACTTAAAGAACCTAGTTAATACATTTAATGGATGATCAGCATTGTTACAGGTATATTAGGCATACAGGTATACAGGCCGATAACGCTGCATTATTACACATTTGTCAGGATGAAAACACTGCTCACATCAGTGGTTTCAACCTTTCTAGCCACCTTCTGAACCCCATCTCACGACCCCTCAGATTTTACTTGACACCTTGTCGGGGCCTCTATCTCCAGTTTGGGAATGATGAAAGAGAAAAAAGGATGAGAAAGAGAGCTAGATCCAACATCCTTTCAGTTATTGCTCTTATTGCTCTCTGTCTTTGTAGGGCATTGTTGTACAAATACAATAAATATTTGTGCGAGTAATGAACCAGGGCCAACATATGGTGTGCCCCAAAGTGCTTACAGTGTATTCGTTCGTTTGTAGGTCACAGCCAGAGAAAATATCAAAAATGTAAAAGTGGATGAAATATAATGATACAGCTCGAAGTGTTCTTACAAAAATAGAATGTATACTTCTATTGTGAAATCCAATAAAAGCGGATATCTGCAGTCTGACTCATTAAACCCAGAACTGGAACTTTCACACAGACAGATAAATCTCCCACCCACTAATTGTGGAAAATAGCTCCCCCAAATCCGCACATGCTGTTTTTCTCCAGATCCAAAAATAACTCGCAGTAGTCATCTGGGATCGATCCACACAGAAGGCTTACGTTTTTCTTTTATCACTATCTCAACTTGTGTAGGCTGAGATTTCTGCAGAGCAACCGCAGATTGTTGCTGCCTATCCACAGCGTTGTGTGCCTGGTTACCTTTGGCCTCTCCCTGCCTGTGGCCATCAGCCTGTTCCCCCAGATGTCTCAGGTACAGTAACGCGTCGGTTCAACTGCTTCTATTCCTGATTCAAGGCCAGATGGAAAAAAAAAATCTAATTACTTATACACCACTTGACATGCATAGTCAAGGCCCACAAGCTTGTATTCACCTCTTATTCCAGATGTCTCTTCCCACGTCTAATTAAAAAGTCAAAGTGATTTTCAAGGCTTAAAGGCAGACTCGGAGAGGTGTAGAGCTAAAATTCTACCTTCAGTCTTCACAGTTTTGTTATTTTTTTGTACAGATTGAGGTGTCTTGCCTGGAGCCAGAGATTGCCATGGCAACAGATTGCAAGGTGGTGACCTACAACAAGGGTTTATGATGGAGGCTCGTGGTGTGGGAGAGGAGCAGAGAGGACAGGGGGGCGAGGATGGAAATGAGGCTGCATTGTGAAGCTACAGTAGGGTTCCTCCACCATAGCAGAGACTGTAGATCATCATGTACTAACCTCTAAACATTCCCAGCAATTATTGAGTCAAGGGTTCTTTCTTGATTTTAAAAGGGGGACAGTTTTTTTTGCTGTTTTCAGGAGCATGGAAGAAGCTCTGTATATAGAAATTATGATATATTTACTGTGAGATAAGTTTTTTAGCATTAATACAATTTTAATATATCCAGTACTGTGTTTCCTACATATAGGCCATATTTGTTTCCCAATCAAGTGTTATTTATGGCTGCTAATGATGACAAATGTTTATGAATACAGTTTAAACCTGCAATAACAATTTTTGTGTCCACTTTGTAAACACGATATTGAGATATTATAATTTTCTGACCTTGTGCTACATCCAGCACATGCTGAGCTACAGAGACTTCCTCTAAAGTCATGTTTTTGACCACTTGGCAAATGTGAGTCCAATATCTACTTGTTTTTTGTCCTCACCAGCTCCTGAGGGAAGTATCTCTAGCCGCTGAATGCTCCACTATGTTCAACAGCTAGTCACTAACTTATTGATCTGTTTTCCGCTGATATATCGACACAGTGGATCCATCAGTTAGGTTCTACTTTGTTGTATTATTGTGATAGAGACGGTGGGCGGTTTGAATGAAAGCTTCCCCTCATGTATATTTTTGACCTGTGGGAAACTGCAATAATATTCAAAATAAAAGTCTTAGAAAAGTCCCAGGAAACTGCTGATATATTCTCTATGTTGATCTCTATGGAACAATATTGCCATTGTGAAGCCACTCTGTGTCAGTGGCTGTATACTGTGGAGACTGTGCTGTAGATGTATAGTTTACAGACTGTTTGAACTGGTGAATGACAGTTTATCACATGCCAGGTATTTTACCCGAATAATGTAAAAAAACATCAAGAATTCTACTGTCTTGGTATTTTCTTTTCTATATTAGCCAAAGTATCTTTCTTTCTTACTTGTAGGAAGGACATTTTACTCCACTATTGACTGTTTCTTAAACCACTATTGTATTCCTAAAGAATTACTTCTTTTGTATGATATAAAAGTATAACCTTTATATTACACTACTGATTATGAACTAGTATTTTAATTGTTTGGTATAATACTTATGCTACAAGGTTATTAAATGTTTGCTAGTCAAACAATGTAAAACATGTATCTATATTATCTAAAATTATATAATAAACACATTTTCTTCATTTACTGCTGTGAAGACTTTTCAGAACACTTCACTGTTTAGTGTTGATGGATTTCCTCCTCATTGTTTTACTGTTTGTACCATCTACATTAGTAAATACTCCCATTTCATTCTTTAATTCTCCTCCTTTAATACTGTACTATATTGCACCGTATTAGACAGAGAACTGTTTTTCAGAGCTGGAATGATTAATCAATTAAGCTGATTGACAGAAAATTAAACTATTTTAATACTTGATACATCTTTTGAGTAGTTTTTAAACCTTGTACTTGTACTATTTTCTACAACTTTATTGATTAAACAAACGATTAATGAAGAAAATAATTAGTTGTTTCTTGCACATAGTAATTTTAGCTGCTGGGTGTGAACAGTGAAAGAAAACTTAACAGATAATATGTGTGAATGTTATATTATGATCATATGAAAACAATTTGGATATCTTGAATATATTTAATATATAATATATTTAATAATATAATATAGTGGTTGTATCATCCCAATGCACATTTACTACAGTTTAATTTCAACTCACAAAGTGTTTTAATTTACGAAAATAAATGAATAAAGTTATTTAAATTAGTTGAACTAATACTTATTTTGAATCACCTCCAATAAAACAATAACTTTCCAGCATTGCGCTGTGAGACAACCCGCAGTTCACAGGTCCGCCACCAGAGGTCGCTGCCGCCTGTACCCAGACATAAATCGTCAGTGTCAGGGTTGAAAGGGAAAAGGTCGTCGGAAACATGGCTGCTCCCCTGGATGACATGTTTTCCCTCTGCGTGGACCCCGGTAAAGTTGCCGCCTGCGTGGAAGTCCGGTTTATAGACAACATTAAGGTGAGTGTGTCCAGAGTTAGTGAGACTGAATGGATTGAGGTGGATGTGCGGCGGTGGAGCGGCTGTCAGTGTGGATCAGAGCCAGGCAGAGAGACAGAGCCGATCTCACTATTACTACATCTGCTGCTCCTTCAAACTTCAAATGTTTCGTGTTTCCTGCAGTGCAATTCTAGACTATATAGGGTTTTAACACAATAATATAAGGATCCTTTCCCCCGAGCTCTGGAAGTAAGTATAAAGCAAGTTATTAAATGTAGCTTAATCCTCACTATAAGTGTATGTTGGTGGGTCATTTGATAGTTGATTCAAGTCAGCATTAAGCAGTTATAAACACTGATATAAAGCAGGAGGTGTACCGTACATCCAGGGCTGTCTGTAGTAGTGTTTATTGATTGAGTCCATTCATAAATAATCTGTGCCCATTTATCCTTTAGCCTGTATCTGCTCCTACTGTAAGAGCTGTGTATGGGGGAAAGGCAATGAGGCAAATTAAATTAACTTATATGTGAGACAGTGCTTCCTATGCTCAGGTAATAATGATCTGAAATATAAAGAGCAATTAAAGCTGCAGTAAGTTACTTTTGTCATATTTGCTGAAGCTGACACTGTATCCTGACAGTAGTACATGAGACATAATCTGAGAAATAATACTGCTAAAGCAAATCGAAGGAAGTGTTTTAACTCCTGCTCGCTCTCAGATTCTGCTGCAGATGGTTTACATGAAGCCGAGGCTGCTGTGTTTTCACAGATCTGTGAACAGTGTGTTATTCATTGTTTCAGGGCAAAGGTCTCTTCGCCAAAAAGAGCATCAAGAAGGGAGAAGCCATTTTTTTGGAGCGGCCTCTGGTCTCTGCCCAGTTCCTGTGGAATGCTTTGTATAAATATAAAGGTGGGATTTCTCTTCTGAATACACACTCAAAAACACAGAGAGGAAGCTAAACATGCTGGTCAGATGTGCACATTTTAGACATACACAGAGAGCTCAAACTGTTGCTTCCCAAATTCATTCCAAGTTCATTATCATTTGGACCCTTAACATTACTGTACGAACAATGCCGAAGTCTTTTTGCGTTTCGGGCCCGCCTCCATAGCACCCGAATCTGCACTACATCAAAATCACAGAACGATTCTCCTCCTGCGCCAGCCGACTCTTTTGGTTTACTCACTTTATTCTCATCCTCCTCGATCTTGGAGTGCGGCCTTTTTGGCGACACCATCTCCCACACTATTCCTCCTCAGAACAGCATTAATCTCCATTGGCGTATTTTTCACACACACCCCTTGGGACTGGGGTTTTACACATTTCCTACCTCTCAGGCCGCCACTCAGTTCCAGTCGCAAACTCGATTTTCCTTCAGTTTCCCCGCCACCCGCCCCCGTCACCACTTGGCTTGCTGGCCCCCAGGGGCTCTGTCCTGGGCCGCCTTCTCTTTCTTCATTCTACCCCTTCCCCTTTAGGCGCGAGATATTTCTTTTTGCCGCAAATACAACGGAATCGCATTTTCATGTTACGGTGGGATGGTGGGACACCAAGCTGCTACCTCCTCAGCCAAACCCCGTAATTTCGACGTCTTTTTTCCACCTTTTCCTCCCTCACCTGACGCTGGCTCACTGAAGCTCAAATCGCCTGGGCTTCTCCTCAACTGTCCTCAAACTGAACAGGTGAGTTAAAACGCGAATTTTTCTTTTCTCATTGGCCTAAATCAAACCCTTTGTCTTTTCAAGCTGACAGTTTTTCCCTCACCAGTCGACCAGACTTCTCTGTCCTTTTCCGCCTCGCCCTCAGGGTTAAAAAAGTCTGGCGTGTCATCCTTGACAGCCAGATTATTCTTTCCAGATAACATATCAATTGAACGCATTCACCGCATTATTCTCCATCTACGCGAATATTTAATCGCTCACAAAACAAGACCTCCCTTCTCCCACAGCCACTGCCACTTCTTTGATACAGGGAGCCTTGTCACGCGCCTTACCGCATTTGGCATTACTGCTAACTTCCACATATACTCTTTGTACATACGCTCAAAACCTACCTCCATAAACTTCAACTAGTTCAAGAACTCTGCCAGCTCGGCGCATCGAGTCACCAGAGAGGCCTCGCACCCGACCACATCACCCCTGTTCTGCCGAGCAACTCCACTGGCTCCCGGGTCAAACTCGCGCAATTTCGTACTTCAGAAATCCTGCCTGTTTACATTCAAGCCATCCATAAACCTTTCCCCTCCTGGTTTATCTTGGTTCCCAACTTTCCGTCGCCACATGCGCCACCCTTTTCCGTTTCCCTTTCAGATTCTGCCTCCCTGCCTTCCACCTCTCTGGTCTGCCCCTCCCGCCGCCCCGCCTTGCTCACCATTGCGGAGCAGGCTTTTCAGTCCGCTCTGGCTGGCCCTGACTCGGAACTCACTGTCCACCAACATCCAGGAATGTGCACTGCTCTCACACTTCTTCAAATCAAGACTAAAAAACTCACCTATTTCAGAACCTGCATACCCCACTCTGAACTCTCTACATTTGTCTTTTTTTCCTTGGTTCTATTCTTACTGTTCTTTTTATTTTTATGTTGGATTGTACGGTGTTTCCTGTACTTTTGTTTACATTATATATTATATATACTATATATATTTTAATGTATATGAGTGATATATCACTATATCATAGTATACCTCAAGCGCTACATACTAATGTCGAGGTATATACTATATACTATATCATATATAGTAATATACTTAACTATAGTAAGATTTTATACTACTATATATTTTTTTTTTTATTTTTTATTTTTTTTATTTATATGTTGGAAAAAAGGTTAAATGCTAAATTTTTATCATTTTTCTGATTCTTACTTCAGAGAGACCACAACGTGCTTAGAGGAGGTATTCATGCTATTGGTGGGGAACCTTACTGGGACCTTTTTTAAACTGGCATCTGACATGAGATGAACAAGGAATTTTGAAATGCATGAATAAGTGTAGCCAGGTCGCGCACAGAACGGGTTTCCTTCAGCACACAACGTAATCAACACCGACGTTATGACAGCACAGACACTTTTCATTTTCCGAGCGTGGGCTCACAATGCTTCAATAGGTTGGGCAGTCCAGGCTTCTGGCGTTGCGTACGGGAATACTCCCTCTGTGGCGCGTCTCCTCTCGGGGTCGCAGCACACCTACTGCCAAGATAAAAGCGTAGAGTTCCTTTAATTATTATCAGCAGGCGGAGGTTGATCAACTTTCAAAAAAAAGAAACCCCCCCCCTTGGTGCCGCTCTTCCCAAAGCCGGTTCCCCACACCTCCCTCTCCTGCCCAGCTGGAGCGGCAAACCACGCCCACCCCCACAATAATATATAACAAAAATAACATACAATATGAATACAAAAGCTTGTATATTTTATCAGAACACAGGCTTGACAAATACAGGATGAATCAGGCTTTCAGGATGACTTTGATCTCCAATGAAACTTTTTTCTTATTGTCAGGTGATTATATACTAATGAAAATGTAGTTACACGTATTATATACAATTTCTGCCAATAGATCCTCCTAAATGTTACACAAAGCATAAAGGTCTGCAGTAAAGTTTTACCTCATCTGCTCTACTGTGTCCTGTTATAGCCTGTGAGTACTGCTTACGTGCTCTGGAGACTGCAGAGGAGAATGCAAGGAGACTCAGCGGCATCCCCGGGCTGAGCCTTCCTCACCTTGAGCTCTGCCGCGTTCGACCAGAGCTGCACCAAGCCTGCCCTCAGTGTCAGGTTAGTCCAATCAGATTACTCGTCCGCTCAAAGCTCAAGGCCCCAACCTTACTGACGTTGGATTTTGAGGGCCTAAACAGAAGGAAGACCCTCTAAAAAACTGGCCAATCAATAGAGGACAAATTTATTGATTTTTAAGGCAGCTGTGGTCCGGGAGGAACTTCCACTGCATCCGTGGTGGACGACGATGATTATTTTTAGAGGCCAGTATTAGTAATATGTATCAGTAAGCCAATCTGTCTATTTGATATTAACCAAAGTAAAACACTGAAACAACTGGTTTCTTTGTATTTGCAGTATTCTTTATCTGTATAGACCACACAGTAAAAGGCTCAGGTTTAACTGCAACAAAGAAGCTTTCATTTAATTTATCCTCCTCAGCCTAATAATAATAACCTTATTTTATAGCACTTTTCAAAAGCCAATTACAAAGTGCCTCACAAAAGACATATAATAGATGTTTAGTGCAATAAAATATAAATTATTAAAATAAAGAGCATTTTAACAGATGAAGTGCAGTAAAAGCAGAAAATAAAACAATTTTGGAAAATGTTGTTCTATAATGTATATTTAAATCACTCCTAACAACACAATACTGATGTACAAAGAACCTCATTCCACCTTAAATATAACCTGCCCTGTTTGCAGTTCTGTTAATTCCACTTTTAAAAATACAAAGAGATCCCAGATTTGGTCTGTAAAATTAAATTATTTAATTACTGCTTCAATTGTTATTTTTCTTTCTTTCTTTTAGTGAGCAAAGAAAAAGCTGTTGTACTAATAGTCTTCAGAACGTGATTAGAATCTTTGCACAGTAAGAAGCCTTGACATTTCCAGTAATCAATTGGACACTGCGTTGTAATCCATTGTGATGCACTGAGACCTGAAAAATGCATATTCAAAACGTGTGGAAACCTCATGGAGGTTTGTTCGTTTGGGATTTGCTTCATTCAGCTGGACAGATGTGAGTAAGTCACCCCTGGCGACCAATCCAATTAACTTCCTAAAGGAATAATAAACCACGCAAAAAATTACCTGATTACAGTGACCTCACACAATAGTTGTTGCTAGGTGATGGAGACCTGTGGTTTAAATTAGTGTAATTAAGGAAACTGGGCTTTATGGGAAAAAAGCTTCCCACAAAGAGACCACTTTTTGATATTTTTGTCCCTGGCACTTGAAATTTTATTTTTTGGTCAGGGTTTTTTGATTGAAATAAATCTCTGTCTCTGTCTCTCTCTGT